GCAACCTCAAGCCCATTTTAAGTGACATTGTCGTTATTTGGAGGTGCTGGGTCCTTTTCCCTGAGCGGCGATGGGTGATGGCCTTCCCAATTTTCTTTTTATTAACTTCTATGGGTGAGATCGCACTGCTCGCATTGATCGTTCAATCTGACACGCATCTAGCCTCTACCTTCACATTCCTAGGGATGATATCAACATTTGAGGGATATGTTGCTGTTATGTACGATGCAGGTAGCAAAAAACAGCTATATCACTTGTATACCGCAGGTATTGCCTTGTCCTGTGCAACAAATCTCATCGCGACGGCCTTGATTGGCTACAAACTTTGGTATGAGTCGATTTATCAATAACTCCACATGGCCTTTGAAATTGTAAAATTCAACGCCAGGATATACGGCAGGTTCATCACTGCCAACAATGGGCCGAAGCAACAAACACCCGTTTCCAACATCCTTTACATACTTGTCGAGTCTGGTGTCGTTTTCTGTTGCCTTCAGGTTTGTTGGACTCGGAATGTCTACATATGATCTTTCGCTCAAGTGCTGCTCTCAGGTGGGATTCTTAATTGTCGACAACGTTACCCAGGTCCGTGTACCAGAGGCAGGCTATATCATTGCCTCCATCTACTTCACAGGATATACTATATTGGCGGTAAGCTGTACCTACTGTAGACTTCTGAAGACCATGTTCTGAAAAGACAGTTCCCAGGCAATGTATCCGACTATCGTGGTCGTTCTTGTCGACTCTCAACGTTCGATTGTCGATTTCTACCCAAGCAGCGTGAAGAGCAACGTTTTTACTACTTTACCTTATCACCCCACAACAGTTCGAACCGTTGAATTTGCTGTGCCGCCCTCATATACCCAGGGTACGGCTTCGACTGGATCCGTCCTGATGAGAAACCTTGCAGGTGGAGAAAAATTCGACGAAGTGAGAAGGGACACCGTTTTTGAAGGACCATGAAACAATATAAATTTAAAACCATGTATTCAATTCATGTACCATATAGCTTATACCCTTGACGACACGAAAGACTGACTCTGCAACTGCAAGGCATGTTTTACACAAGCTATACAACTGGCCCATCCACTGCATGTACATCCTTGCACCGATCTCACATATGCTACCACAAAAGATGTCGACCTCAAACACTCTTTTCGAAACAGGGTTCTTGACTGAAGATCGCCTGGAAAATGAGGTCCTATCGATAGAATATAGAATAAAGTCTCCAAAACTGAGAAACGACCGCAGGCCCTACCTACATCTATACATGCCAATCTAAAGCCTTTTCTATTGTCCCTCCCATACTTCATTCAACGTTCAACTACGATAGTCCCCATTGATCTTAACATATTCCTAGTCGCTTCGTCAGCCTACGTCCCCCAAATTAAGAGCAAGTGCAGAAACCCACATAGCTGAAATCGCACGTCCAGTACGTTGCTTCCTTATCCCCCATATCCAACCTCACCTCAATACCAAACTCCTCCTCACTTAAGATCTCCTTCGCGCGTACCTCGTCCACCTGCTCCGGCTCGCCGTTAACGAGGACGGGAAGGGGCGCGCTGCCGTCGACGGGGATGAATGTCACGGAGACGGCGTTGGGCTCGATTATGGCAGGGGTTGTGGTATTGGGGAGGGGGGCGAGGGGGATGGAGCCGGTGGCGGCGAGGATGCGGCCCCAGCTGTGCGGGGGAAGATGTGTGAGAAGAGCGCGGAGAGGGAGGAAGGAGAGAAAGGGAAACGTACTTTGCGTCTTCGCCGTAGAGGGCCGTTTTTACGAGGGCGGAGGTGGAGATGCGGGATGCAATGCTGTGGGCATCAGTGTAGGAGTTCGCTTCCTGCAAAGAGTTCAATCAGTATCAAGACGAGGGACAAGGGACAAGCGGAAGCGGGATGAAGGCGTTTGATGCGACGGGGCGAGGAATACAAGATAGGCAATCGCTGCACATACCTTAACAGTAACCGTTACGAATTTAGTGGCACCCTCACCGTCACGAACGACTAGCTTAGCCAAGTCCACCGCGAATGCTGTCAGCTCTGTTTTAAACGCCTCATAGCCCTCTTTGTCCGTCGCCTCATCAATTTCCTTGACACTTCCTCCTGCAGCCGCGCCGTTGGCGAGTACAACGATGGTATCGTTCGTGGACATGTCGCCGTCGACGCTGATCGAGTTGAAGCTCCTCTCTACTGCGTAGGTCAGGGCACTTTGAAGACTCCGCGGAGACACAGGGGCGTCGGTCAAGATACAACCGAGGAGAGTTGCATGTAGTGATTTGGAAGAGAACGATGTCGACGCGGGCCCCATATTCGGGTGAATCATTCCTGCGCCCTTGTCCATGCCTGCCATGCGGTATTCAGTGCCCCCAATAGTGAAAGTGCGCGCACGCAGTTTCGGGAAAGTATCGGTGGTCATGAACGCTTTCGTGGCGCGCTCCCAGGCAGCGAAGTCCTGTCCCAGAGATGCAGGGACTTGTGTGTTTATGCCCTCGAGGATTTTGGCAATGGGGAGATTCTGTCCGATCACTCCTGTGGACATGACGAGGGTTTCGTGTTCGGGCTTGTCGGAGCGCGATGGTAGGAGGGCATCGGTCGCACGAACCATTGCCCATGCATCTTTGAGACCTTGTTGACCAGTGACTGCGTTCGCACAGCCGCTGTTGACGACGATTCCGCGAGCACGGCCCCCGTTGGATGTTAGAACTTTGTCTGAGACGAGTACTGGGGCGGCTTTGAAGGCGTTGCGGGTGAAACATGCAGCGGCGGATGTCGGCTTGTCGGCTGTGGATAGAATAACACCAACATCAAGTGCACCAGGCTTTTTCACACCGGCGTGTACACCGGTGAGTAGATATCCCGCAGGAAAAGATGATGAAGGAAGAAAGCCATGGAGATGGGATTTCGACGGTGTTGCTTTGATGGTTACCGTCGAGCTCAACCTCTTGAACAGGTGTGACATAGTGGGTGAACAGAAACTTGACAGGAATCATAAATTTACTTCGAAATGATTTTATGAACGATGGCACAAATGACTCGATTGGCTGTAATTTCGCTATTGGCAGGATAAAAGCATGTATTTCCAGAGCATCCGCTGTGCAGTTCTATAAATCTACACAGCAGGTGATGTGGTCTCGATATCGATAACACTGGCTACCTGAATTGAGACGAAACGCCCCTCTATCTCCCATCGCTCCGTTACTCTGGTAGTCGTCAAAAAACAACCGCAGAGTGCAACACGACTGCTGCATCGATGGTGAAGAAAAAAGTCAATGCAAACATTTTTTCTCTTTATAGACAGCTGTCACGTGGAACCATAATTTTAGACGCACAAGTTGGTGACGACATGTCTTCCCCTACCTCCCTCGAAGAACTTTCTCCTTCAATACAGCACCCGACAAAGTCTTTCTCGGACTTGGGAGTATGCGCACCTCTCTTTAAAGCCCTTGAAGGCCTAAAATACACATTTTTACCCGCAAGACTGCATTCTAGTGGCTCTGAGGGCGAGATATCATCGACATTACACCGACAGGTTCTGGAAAAACAACAGCACTCGCACCTCCAATATTGCACCAACTATGGGACAACCCACAGAGTTACTATGCTTTGGTGCTCTCACCCACCCGAGAACTGGCGTACCAGATCTCGACATAGCTGAAAAGCCACACATTATTGACGCAACACCTGGAAGATCACTTGAAATCGACCAAGGGCTTCAGTCTACGGTCACTAAAACATCTGATACGAAAACAATCTCTCCACTACAAACGTCGCTAATTGGTGCTTGTGTTTGACAGGTTCTGGATGAGGCAGGTCGACTGCTGCACTTGGACTTTTAACGGGAAATAACGGAAATCTTACAAGCGATTCCTAAAGACCGAAATTCACACCTCTTCTCAGCAACCATGACCACGAATGTCTCAGAACTCCAGCGTGCGAGCCTTTCTGACCCCGTCCGTGTGGACGTCTCACCCTTCAAGTAAGTGCTCATGTTCATACCAGTATTTCTGTTGCAATTTTAACACACCAAGGCAAATACAAACCGTCTCAACCCTCGTACTATACTACGCTCTATGCCCCTTGACAAGGAGGCCATCCTGGTCTATCTGATCAACAGCATGGCTCAGAATCTCGTTATCGTATTCGTACGAATGATAGCCGACACAACACGGTGAGCACAACTCAATTGCCTTCCGAACGGCGCCCTCAATTCATCTATCTAGGCCTGAGTATAATTCTTCGCACACCGGGGTTCCAGGCCGTCCCTCTTCACGGGCAATTGACGCAGAGTCAAAGACTAGGCACCTTCAACAGATTCAAGAGCGGCAAAGCAATAAACTGGCTGAGGACCTTGCAAGTCGGTAATTGTCCCAAAATCCTTTTTCTATATCAACAACCACTGAACTCTTAGAGAGGCCTGTACGTCGCCGCCGTCGACTTCGTCATAACTACGACGCCCCCACGCACTCAAAGGACTACATCCACCCCGCACAGCCCGCGCGGGACGCTTCGGAAAATCCATCCTCATGGTAATACAATACGACGCGGAAGTGATGCTCCGACTCGAGCTGGTGCTGGACCGCAAGCTCAATCTGTATTCCGAAGAGATTGCGCTGCTGAAAGAGCGCGTACATGAGGCTGAGAGGTCGGCGCGGACTCAGCTTAAGGATGAGGCTAGGACGAAGGCGGATGGGAGGAAGCGGAGGCATAAAGATAAGGGGTCGAGGGATGAGAGGGACCGGGATGGTGATACTGTTGAAGCTGGGATATCGGTGGCTCCGCATAAAAAGAGGAGGTGGCCTTGAGGGTGTGGTTTTGGCTTTCTATACCCCTGTTTTTGTATTTTCGGTTGGTGGAAATTGGCCGTGAGATGGGGAGGTAATAGACGTTAACACGTTAACACGTTATATCGATCACCTTTCACCTCCGTTACTTTTGTGTACCCACCAGTTGTGTATTTTTAATCTGCTGACACTAGTAGTGGCACGCCGTAGCCATCGCTGCATGGCCGTATGGCGAAATGGCATCGCGTCTGACTACGATGTAGCTTGCTTTGCAGACACAAATCAAGAGATTGCAGGTTCGACCCCTGTCTCGGTCATCACATGGAACGTGATCATTTTTGGGCTTCGGCACTGGGCCCAGGTTTCATAATGTCTAACGGGACTTGGTAATATCGTCGAGAGCAGTACGTTGATGTTTTTGCGTTCATGAATGGAACGGCAACACACTATGTCACAAACACACAAGGAATTCGAAAACGAATACTAACAGCTTAGAAAAGTCATAAAACTATTTACTCAACGTCAGCCCGCGCAACCTGGCCACTATTTGCCAATGTGGGTGTGAAGGTGTACCAACGGCCATTGAAACGGGCATCGTGACTGCACTATTTGTTCAAGGCTATGGGAACAAGGTTGCTTCCATGCCCTACAGTCTTTGTGGCGTAGTCTGTATCTACTGACGTTAGTCATGCCGTGGACCTCGTTGCAAGGCGGTGCGGCGAAATGGTATCGCGTCTGACTACGATTAGAAATCCCATCAGGAGATTGCAGGTTTGACCCCTGTCTAGGTTATTCGCAGGTTCTTCACTTTTGCGTGCCGTGTATTTTTCATCAAAGGTATGTACTAGAACTTTCATTTATACAGAGGGATATCCCCGGTGACGCCGTTGAGAGCAGCGGTATAAATAATCACATTTTATTGAAGTCGCATTCATTATTCAAATTGGAACAGCGAGGCACTACATCTCATATTTACACGGTCAGAAAAGCTAACACTAACAAATTTTAGGAGAACGAAAGTCGGAAATCTACTACGCAGCGTCAGCCTGCATTGGCGCAACCTGGCCACCCTTGGCCGCAGTGGGTGTGAAGGTGTGCCAGCGGTCATTGAAACGGACGTCTATTGAATCATAAGCTCGTGACTATGAGACAAGGAACAAGATAACACACCGAGCGGGCGCCCTCCGTACATGTACTGCTGAAACTTCGCTGTAGGTAACGGCAGGATGTCAGCTAAGATATAGAGAAGAAAAGGCGATTCGACGAACCGATAGCAGTCTCGGCCTCTCCAACTTGTGCGAACTGGACGACACCGCATCCTTTTGAACGCGTGCCGTCGAACAAGATCTCAGCTAGTTCCACCTGTCCTGTTGTCTCGAACAGCTCAACCAAGTCTTCATTGGCAGTCGACCATGGTAGCTGAATTTGCATTGCATGAGCATGAGCAGTCCACATTGGCGTGAAGAAAATAATAACGCACGTTGCGAACCATAATCTGCTGGCTCGGTTCAGCATCAGGAAGACCATAACCGCCAGCGCCGCCAGTACCACCATAACCGCCGACACCAGCACCAGCACCAGCACCATGTCCTCCTCCAAATCCTCCGCCTCCGCCTCCGCCTCCACCACCACCGCCATAACCAGTGTCCATTCTCAGACCCGCACCTCCGCCCGAGGCACCTCCCTGGTCAGGGCCAGAGTAATCCGCGTAGATATCTTGATTGGAGAAATCGCGACCTGCTCCGCCACCACCAAACGCACCGCCGCGGAAGCCACCTCGGAAGCCACCACGCAAGCCGCGACCACCGAGTCCACGGGGTGCGCCACGGAAACCGCCACGGAAGCCACCAGGACCAGACAGCCCGGCGTAGCGATCCTAAACACACGCACATGATTAGATCTTTTCAGTTCTTGGAGAAAATTTGGATTCTTACCTCGCGGACTTCGAGGGTACGACCATACCAGTCGAATCCATGGTACATGCCTGGAAAGGGTTAAACGAAGGTACTCCGAGAGAGATTGTAACATACTGATGGCTTGCTGGGCATCTTTGGATGTCTCGAATACGACTGTGCCAGATCCCTTGGGGCGTCCATCAGCACCGATGTTGATATCGGCGCGGATGATGTTCCCAGAGGTACGGAAAAGGTCTTTGAGATCTTGCCATCCTGCTTGATAGGGTAGCTAGCAGAGCATCATTAGTCTTGTGCGACTCGGGAGCAGGTAAATGAAGGGCTTACGTTGCCGACGTAGAGCTGGTTGCCAGGATTGGCTTGGCTGCCAAAATAGTTATGGGAAGGAGGGCGGGGAGGTGGGGCTGCATTCAATCCTTGACCAGCCATCGCCATACCTATTTTACCTGGAACGGGTGTTGCACCGAAGCGAGCCTCGTTTTCGCGATCCTAGTACAGAAAATTTGAGTTAAAGCCATGCCATGAGATGGAGGAGTAGAACCTCTCGAATGAAGACAGGTCGGCCAAGGAGCGGCTGCTCGGATAACTCTCGGATAGCACGTTGGGAGTCTTCTTGCGAGGCGAATTCGACGATTCTGCAACGACTGTCAGTTCACACACAAAAAAACGGACGAAGAAACAAAAGGTGCTTACCCGCAGCCTTTAGACACCCCAGTAGGTGTGACAAGTACTTCGGCGAAGAGGACCTCACCAGCTACCAACCCCAAAAAAAGCTCCCATCAATATCCTCTCGACAACTCGACCATTCCGGCACAAAAAACTAAAAGAAACGGGCGGATCCTCGACACAACTCACGCTCCAGTCCATTGGAACGCCGATGAGGGCGTGCGCGCACACGTTGGAAAGTAAACTCCAAAAAATCCACATCGCTTCGCATCAGCACACCTCCGCTGCTCTGGCTCCGCCACTGCTGCTGCTGCCACCGCCACGCCCCCAAACCAAAAACATGCACAAAAAACTAATCTGAGATTCCCCCACCCACCTCCCCTCATGAATTCCATTAGGTCCCGGTACTTGACGTCGTAACTGAGGTTGCCGACATAGACCCGGTTTTCTCTCTTGCTGATTTTGGCAAATTCGACGGCTTCTTCGTGTTCAGCGTTCATTGGGCCTCCAAGGGAGCGAGAGAACGTGTCGACGGCTTTGCGGTCACGGCTGCGCGAGCGACTTCTTGAGCGTGAACGCGAGCGCGACCTAGACCTGGAGCGACGGCGACTGCGACGAGGGGACGCGGAACGGCGTCTCGAACGTGAACGGCTCCTAGAACGTGAGCGCTTACGACGCTGAGTATTAAACCATGGTAAGATCCTGTGTCGAAAGTGTAAGCCGACACTCACATCACCGCCATTACGCCTATCAGGCTCCCAGTGGTCGCCTCCCCCGCGCCTCGAACGGCCTGTAAGACGTTCAGAATTGAAACTGCGAGTTGAGACGACGTGGCGTAGACGCACCAGACTCCCGTCTATCACGGTCACGATGGTTGTCCTTGTCGCGGTCCCTACGGCCTCCTTCTTTATCGCGGTCTTCACGTTCCCTTTCCCTGTCCTTATCACGGTCATAGTCACGATCCCTATCCCTTTCTCGATCACGGTCTCGTTCTCTGCCGCTGCTCACAGGTGCTATGATTGCCTTCTCCTCCGTGTCCTCCTTGTTCTTCATATCGACGTCCATCTTGCAATAAAGTCGGCTGATTAGAAGGTTAAAACAGTGAATAAGCTATGAGTGAGAGGGACGTGGTGTGGTCAAAGGAAAATTCTCGCACACTGACTCAGTTTCGCTCTCCGGCCTAAATTACGTAAGCGACATTACCGTTGAAATTTGAATGTGGAACCCGAACAGCGGCCGCACACATCTCGATGCATCAGAGTCCTATGAGGCTCTTGTGCACTAAAAAGTGAAAACTATTGTACTATGATGACATATGAGGCGCTGGGCCTAACGCTGGAATGCCTTTAGGTGCTCGAAGCACGTCCGCTGAGTGCTCAGCTTCCTACCGGAATTGAATGTTTATATTCTCAAATGGCACTATATTCCTCCGAGTTAGCAGTTACTCAGGCTAGGAGTTGTATACACGTTCGCAGGAAATCGGTGCTCCCGGAATTCATACCCACACCAACAATACCCTCTGGTTCAGGAAGCTATTCTTTGATAAAATCTTGGTCGGCAGGTTTCCGGGCGTTTCCTCGTCACTTTCGCCCGTCTTTTCAGCCGGATAATAGATTTTTGTCACGGCATCTCAGCGTCACTGATGTATGGTCATGATTCGGTGTGTACCTCTATCAGTAGGAACTCTTCCGTCAAACTCGTCAAAGCCGCCCAATAGAGGGGGTAATGCGCGATCTGTCAGAGGCTCTAGTGGTTTCATGGGCGTCTCCGGTCCCCGGAAGCATTGTTGCGAAGTAAAACAAGGCGAGGCGGCGAAGGTTACCTTAACTCAGCCCAAGCACGGGTACAAGGATAGAGAACGCGCTGCCTCTGGTCGGGTAGAGGTTCATGCACTGAATTTGGCATGAGGCGCCGATCGTTGAGTTATACAGGCGTCGAACAACGCACCTCGGTGGAGAGAAGCCTTGATCAAACGACCCGTAGTAAATTCCATGCCATCCCCTAGGTTCAAGGTTAACGATTATGCCATTAGGGTAATATCGAACATGTTTCCTTCACCGAGTCATATACTTACATAGCCCAGCAATGGACTGGGAGTCTGCCGTCGCATATAGCGCTATAGGTAAACACGACGCTAGAGCTCATAATTACCACAGATAAACGACAGTGAGCCACTTGAGCAATCAGGTCAGAGTTAGAGTGAAATGCATGCCAGTCGGTTGATTAACCTTAAGTTCTCGGTTTTCTTCGGTTGGAGGATCTGATTCAAACTTTGAATCGGGGTCGGATTGGTGTAGGTATAAGGAACAAACGATTCACCGCTCCGTGAAATAGATCCTTTGTCGGGATGTTGTTAGGGCGCGGGGCTCCATCCGATAGATGGTGCAGGTTCCAGAAGCTATGTAGTCGACTCGGTTGTCGAGTAAATAATATTGAAGTGCACTCGCGTGTCTATTCCAAGCCCACGGAATAGAATCGATACACAGCAGTACGAAGTGGTTGTACTGTAATTGTGCAATTAGTGGCCTGAGATCTAACGTGGTGTCAACGTCTTGGGCCTTACCTTGTACAATGCATGTATCTCCTGGGGATGGGGCCATGACTTTGGAGGTGGCTGCAGATCTTCAACTACCGTGTCACAAAGTACATTGAGTAGTGTTGCGCAAATACGCAGAAATGGCTCGTGACACACTTTATATCCAGCTCGGCTTCCTTCTTCGCGAATCTTTGCGTGATAACGTCGTTGCTGACGGAGAGGAACATGTGGGCTAGGTCGAATAGATCTGATGTACATGAGATGTGTGGATCAGCGCCTGCAACTAGTATCAGTGATTCAGGAGCCGCGCTCAGACTGAGTTAACACATCGCAGCCTCTCCACTTGTTAGATTTGGATGAGTGGTAAGGATGAGTGGTAAACCAAACCACAGAATTGACATCACTGCCGCCCAAGTTTGTATTCTCCAGGTGCACGACATCTTCCGCGGCAGGCAGAAGGACAGTCATGTAACCCTGCCCAACAATACTTCCACATCGCATCCCCAAGGGTGCGAAATTCATTCGGACGGTTTAGATGTTACAGGGGAAAGGCTCTATTCTTTTTGATCAATGAACGATGTTTGGTTCAATGCACTTCAACATGCCCTTAAAAGGTCTAGAGGTCAGCGACATTCTTCGTTTTAGAATTCATCGCTCACATATCTACTCAGGTCGTG